GAACAACCCCTCTCCTCCCTCTGGTTTCCCTCCTGCCCCTCCCACCACCACCCCACCTGCCAAACCTACCTGCCTCTCTCTCTCTCTCTCTTTCCTTTTCACCCCTCAACCCTAAGCCTTTGCTCAAAACACTTCTCCCCCTTCCCCTTCCCCTGTCTCACACTGAGGCCCCAGCTAGAAATCCCCTTTCACAAAAAGCCTCCCTGTCTGGCTGGGTTAAACCCCTCACCCTGCCCCCAGCAACCCTGCCTAAGGAAGCAGCCAAGCCCACCGGTTCCAGGCTCTGGGCTCTGGGCTCTGGGCTCTGGGCTCTGGGGAGGCCGGTGTTCCTGCAACTCAGACCCCTGGTATGAGGGAACGAAGCTAAGACATACCTGAACCCAGAGGCTCCCGCCACTGGCGACAGCTGCATGGAAGGTCTGGGGTGCCTCTGAGAGGCAGCTTCTCAGGCTCAGGTCAGCAAAGCTTCCCTAGAGCCAGGAAGCTGGGGGAGAGGCAGGGAGAGAGCGCCATGAGGGGCTGAAGGTGAACCAGATGTCTTCCCCTATTTTCCTTCGGGAACAATATAAGCCTCCAAGATTTTTGTTTAATTCAAGGGCTTCCTCCACAAATGACAAAGCAGTGTCCTTCCCATGCAGGGGATGGAGCCTTAGAGTCTAACTTGATGAAAAAATTAATAATGAAATGTGAGATTTTTGCTCGCTCCCCCAAGTCTCTCCACACACATCTCGCTATTTTATCACTGCCTGGTGTAACTTCTGACCCACCAAACAGTGAGCTTGGGGTGGGAGCAGGAACTGCACCTCCTCTCTTTATGGGGTACCCCAGGACTGAGCAAGCCTGGCTCAACAGGGGCTCTCAGTGCACATGGGATAGACAGAGGGTAGATGGACAGATGTTGGTTGGATGGATGGATGGATGGATGGGCAAATGGATGAATAAAAGCAGGATAGACAGATGGGCAGACACTAGGATGGACGGGTGGACAGACAGATAAATGGACGAAGGATAGGTGGGTGGCTGGATGGTCAGGTGGATGGCTGGATGAAGGGGCAGATAAATGGGTAGATGAACAAATGGAAGATAAAGGAAAAATGGATGTATGAACAGACAGATGAGTGGACAAAGGGACAAAGGATGGGTGAGTGAAAGAATGGTAGACAGACCCACAGATGGATGGACAGACTTACCAATTCTCTTCTTTAACAGAGATAGAAAGCCAAGGAAGTCAGGGCTTCAAATGCATTCTTTTTGGCAACACCCCCACCTTGCTGCTGGCAGGAAGGCTGCCCTCTGCAGGCCACCCTGGGGTGCTGCAACTAGGCAGAAAGGCAGACCGGGCCAACCCTGACCCCTGGTGGTCACCATAAGAATAACCACCCCGGGAGCAGGTCTTGGCCACACTGGCAGTGACCAGCCCCTGGGGAGCCCACTTTCACTCTCGCCCTGGACCCTGACCTCCTGGCTCCTAGGCTGAGGCTCCCATCAAAATGTTCTTAGACACAGTCCGCAGAACCTGCGGTGCATTCGGTGCCAGACCAGGCGTTCACTCACACTCTGGAAGGCCTACCACTGGCCAAGTCCTGTTAGAGATGGCCTGGAGAGAGCTGCTGAGATCGTCCGTGGACACGTGACAAATAACAGCCCACGCGCATTGCTAATCATGCGGGTGGTAGGCCGGGACACCTGCAGCCTTCTCTCCCCCATCCCTCCCGTCAGGCCCGGAAGTAACACCTAGAACCATCCCGAGAAGGTGAGAAAGTGAAGTCTCACCTGTAAAATGGGGATGGTTCTAGGTGTTACTTCGGGGGCTGATGGGAGGGATCAGGTCGCACGGGTCTCTAGGTGCACCTGCGAGAAGGCTTCCTCTTAGAATCCTGGGGGCAGGATGACTAGAACACAGGTGTGTCAAGGTCTATCTCCACAGAGAAATCAAGGACAGACTATCTCTCCACCGGAGCCAATTCGCACTCCTGCCAGCAGTTCAGAGAACGCATGTTGGCTTATCTCCTCTACAACATTTAATAGCATCCGACGTCAGCCATTTGCCAATCATATGGGGGAGAAAGGAACATCTCACTGTGGTCCTCGTTTCCAGGTCTCTGCTCCCCAGAGAGTGTAAGTATCTTGCCATGTTTTGTGACCATAGTGGTTTTATCATTCATGAAATTCTGGTTCATGAATGGTTTTTGCCCATTTTTCTCCTGAGCTGTTTATTTTGCTGTATTTGTTTAAAATTTATTTATTTATTTATTTATTTGAGAGAGAGAGAGAACAAGTGCAGGGAGGGGCAGAGGGAGAAAATCTTCAAGAAGTCTCCCTGCTGAGCTTGGAGTCTAACGTGGGGCTCGATCTCCCAACCCCTGAGATCATGACCTGAGCCAAAACCGAGAGTCAGACCCTTAACCGACTGTGCAATCAAGGAACCCCTCTTTGTTTTTTAAGTAGGCTCCACCCCCAACACGGGGCTTGAACTCACAACCCTGAAATCAAGAGTCACATACTCTATCAACTGAGCCAGCCAAGGGCCCCTAGTCCTGTTCTATTTCTTTTTTCTCCTTCCTTAAACTTTTTTTTAAAAAAGATTTTATTTATTTATTTGACAGAGAGAGAGAGATCACAAGTAGGCAGAGAGGCAGGCAGAGAGAGAGGAGGAAGCAGGCTCCCCGCTGAGCAGAGAGCCCGATGTGGGGCTGGATCCCAGGACCCTGAGATCATGACCCGAGCTGAAGGCAGAGGCTTAACCCACTGAGCCACCCAGGCACCCCTCCTTCCTTAACCTTTTAAAAAGCTTTTTATGTGTTTGTTTTCCTCTCCTACCTTTTCCTCTCTATTGAAATGAAATGTATATATTCCAGGGGTTTTTTTTAGTTGTTATCCTTTAACTTTGACCACTCACATTTAATTAACAATGTCTAATGTTCAACAATATATTTACCCACTCCCCAAGTGCAAGGGAGCAATGTTTAGAACACGCAAGTCTTGGTCTCCCACACGCATATACTATTGCTGTCCAACATTTCAGACCTGTTTTTCCTCAACATCAGAAATAAGTCATTATTCTTTTATACAGATGATTTTCAAATGTAGGCGTTAGCTACATTTACATTCTCTAGGTTTCCCATCCCTTCCTGCCTCTCGGGCTGACTTTCTGGAATTCTTTTCCTTCTCGAAGCACATCCTTGGGAAGCGTCTTTGGTGGCTCCCTCACTTCTGGTTATCTGTGAATGTAAAAATAAATGTTTTTTTTTCTTTTCTTTCTGTTTTGGTTTTTAAAAGGCACTTACGCTGGGCCCCATTCTGAGTTGACATTCACTTGCCCTTACTAGTCTTCAGAGATCTTTCCAGCCTTCTAGTTTCTGTTGTGGTTGCTGGGAAGTCAGCTCACGTTCCGTCAGCCCTTCATAGATGGCTGGAAAAGGGAGCCCGGGGGGAGGAGCCCGGCGCTGAGTCATCCTGAATATGGGGGCTTGTTTGTTGAACAGAGGGGGTCCCCAGTCAGCACACATGGGATTCCTCTGAAGGGTAAAGGGTACACACCCCAGTCGCCCATGCCGGTGGTCCTTGACAATAGTGTTGTCAAGGCATCTTGCTGGCTCGTTTGGCTGAGCTTCTGACTTCGGCTCGGGTGGTGATCTCAGGGTTCTGGGATAGAGCCCCGCATCAAGCCTTATGGGGCTCCACCCTCAGCAGGAAGTCTGCTTGTTCCTCTCCCTTCTTCTCTGTCCCAGCCCTGCCCCAGCTCATGCTCCCTCTAAAATAAATAAAATCTTTAAAAAATAAAGAGTTGTCAGACAACAAAAGAAAGGGTTAGAAAAGGGGTGCCCAGGTGGCTCGGTAGGTTAAGCATCTGCCTTGGGCTCAGGTCATGATCCTGGGGTCCTGGGATTGAGGCCTCCCCTCCCCACTGCCCCCCTCAAGCTTCCTGCTCAGCAGAGAGTCTGCTTCTACCCCCCTCCCTCTGCCCCTCTCCACCCCACCCCTGCTCATACATATGCGAGCTCTCGCTCTCTCTCTAAAATAAATAAGTCAAATCTTTTTTTTTTAAAGGGGGAGGAGATAGACAAGTATAGAATGCCCAGCTAAATTTGAATTTCAGATACACAACGAATAACTTTTTAATGTTTTAGTATCTTTCTCCCAAATTTAGCATTCTGTATTTTAACTGGCAACCCAGCTTTCAAACCCCACCCCATCACATACACACACTATGCCGTCTGATATAGCAGCAACTGAACAACACAGAAACTTCTAGTACATGACCCCTCTGCTGTCCATTTGTCCTCCTACCCATTCCATCTTCCCACTGGTCTGGAAGCCCCCTGAGAGCTGGACCCAATGCCCAGTGGCCAATCTGGAGCAGGCCAAGACCCTGCTGGGAGTGAGGAGAGGGCAGGGAGGCCCAGCAGGTCTCCCCATCCCTGCCTGCCTATACCCAGTGGGGCATTTCTGAGAAGTGACCCCTGCCCAGAGCCTGGCCCCTCATGGTGCTCAGAGCTGCAAGCCTGGCCCTATCTCCTGGAACCACCAGAACCATCCCCTTGTTACTGTGGCCATAGCCTCCCTTGGGTGACCCTGGGCTTGGGAGTGTGTAAGAGGCTGGGCCTAAACCAGTGGGGTGGGCCAAGTCACAGGCAAGGCCCAGCTGTGTCACCACTTCCTGGAGCTGGTCCAGAGAGGGCCTGGGACTTCCCATGATCCCTCTGCCTCCTCCTTAGTGTGGGAGCCCACCCCAAGGACCAAGGGGCCCGGTACCACTCAGGACGGGGCTCAATCGTGGCAGGGGGGCTTGGATGGGGACCCACATCACCCTGATAAAGATAGGGGGACACTGTCTGGAGTCAGAGCAAAGGCCACTCTAGGGAAAGTGGAAGAGGAAGTGACAGAGCTGAGGGAAAGCAGGTTGTGCCCAGTGAGGAGCTGGGCCTGTTGGGCCTAGAGTTTAGATAGTTTGCCCTCTCAGTCGACTCTGTTAATAATAATAGCAAAAATACTAATAGTAACAATAATAATGATTTATTGAGCACTTCCTACTTGCTAAGCCTCTTTATATGGATTCTTTTTTTCATCTTCAAAATCAGCACCACAACAGCCCCTACTCTACAGATGGGAAAACTAAGGCCCAGAGAGCTTGAGTGGTCTGTCCACAGTCACACAGTTAGCAAATGGTAAGGCCATTTGAACCCAGGCAGTCGGGTTCCAGAGCCTACAGCACTCACCAGCTGGCCAAGGGCTATGGGCATCCAGAAATAAACAGAGAGCAGAGGATCCCCGCCCCCACCCCCAGGAGAAAAGGGATCTGGCTCCAGGACTCTCACCATGCCATCCAAAGTCGTTATTACCTGTCTGATGGCCTGCAGCAGGGCTCTGAGTGCCTCCCCCAGCCCACCTGCTCTAGCGCCATGGATGCCCAAGACTCCAAGACCCAGAGCGAACAGCTGCGTTGGGAAAAGAGAAATGGGTGTGCAAACAGTGCGAGAATCCTTTCTTCGGTCACTCAGCAGGAGCAGTCCCGGAAGCCGGACCCCTTCCATCTGGTGTGTCATGTCCCCAGACAGGCAGCAGTATTTCCAGATAGGATTCGGGGAGCCAATGGCTTCTGTGCACAGGCCAACAGCTCCCCCTGGTGTGCAAGCCAGGAATGGAGCTGGCTTTAGGAGCCCTCTCCCTCTTGCTCGGACAGAGGTCAAGGGCAATGCTCATTCTCCACAATTGTAGCCTGAGCTTGGTTTTAGACTCCATACGGTCACGCCTACCAGGGGCAATTCAAACCTACCCAATTATCAGAGGGCCACCTGCCTCAGGAGGCGAGGAAAGAGGCTCTGCCTTCCCATCCCCAGGAAGCCAGGGGAGGCAGAGCAGCGCACTGCCCTCTGGGCCTGGGGAAGCCATGGAGGTAGAAAAGCCTCCCTGGAGGCCACAGGGGCCCCTGGTGTCCAGCAGCTGGCCTGCCACCTTCTCTGGGGGAGCCCAGAGCCTCGGGCTGCAGGCGGCCAGAGAGGCGAGGCCTTCTGGACGAGGAGGCCCAGACTACAGCATCGTCTGGGAGGAGCTGAACCCCTCCATCTCTGTCTCCATCTCTGCCTCGGAGTGGCGCCTCTGGGAGCAGAACCACAGGAAGAGGAAGAAACCTGCAAGGGAAAAGCGGGTCAGCAGGAGACTAGAAGGAGAGACGCAGGGCCTTACCCAGAATCCAGGGACCTCCTCAGTGGGGGTGACCTGGGCTTCCCTAAAGCCCAGGAGAAAATCTCAGCGTCCCTCCCTGTTGGAAACCAGAAGGGGCAGAGCACAGAAACTGGCCGACCAATTGTCAGCAGGCCAGAGGGTGCCTTTGTGCAAATGAGGAGGAAATGCCCCTTTCTATGGACAGAAGGAGCCCCAAACCAGCTTGGCAGGGAAGGGGAAGCTCAATTTCAGCCCCTGACTTGCCCCCTTGACCTGAAGCCTTGAGCAGTCAACATCTGACCAGCCGAGCACCACCCCTGGGGCTTCCTACATGCCTCCCGCGGGCCCTACCATACAGCGAGTTGAACGTGGTGAAGAGGAAGAGCTGGGGCAGCAGGAAGACGTCAAAGGAGAAGAAAGCCAAGGCCCAGGTGGTGCCCAGCAGCACGGTGAGGCCCAGCACGGTGACGCTGTCCCGGCAGGCCCGCAGGTTCAGCGCCCTGTCCTGGGCCCGCAGCCGCTGCAGCACCCGCAACGCCCAGACCAGCACCACCAGGTTGAAAAGAGACGTGAGGCCACCGTAGCCCATGACCAAGATACTGTGCACCCAGCGGTTCTGCACCCAGCACCTGCAGGGGAGCAAGGAAGCGGGAAGTGCCAGGGTCGGTGTGGCGCCCCAGGCTGGGTGGGGAGGGGCGTGTGTACAGAGATCCTGGTATCTGGGCCTCTGGATGGGCTCTTGAACTTGGTCCTGTCTCCCAGGCCAGACCTGTTGCTTCTTGTCTGACCACACGTATGAAGTTCAGGGCCTGGCTTTCCAGCCAAGGCATCACGTTAGGGCCCCCTGTCACCTCGGCCCCGGCCTGAAGCCCTCCGTGTTCTCCTTTCCAGCCACACAGGGCCCTCTTATGCCTTTACTCACCTGAAAACTCTTCCTCTCCTCACTTCTCCATCTCACCTCTCTCCCCTTCCATGGCCAGCCCAGCTGCCCACTTGTCCAAAACTCTACCGGATCCCTGGCCCGGGGCCCTCTTCCTGGAGGCTTCTCCTCCCACCCACCACAAGGTCAACATCATCTCAGCACCATCTCTGTGCAAAGGGTGCCCTGCCCCAGGACCCACCCCCCCTCAGCTAGATGGGGCTCATGAGCAGTGAACAGCTGTGGCACATCGAGTGAGAAGCAGGATGAGGCCACCAAGGGCCGAGGGAAGAGCAGAGGCCTGGCCGTGGCCCCAGCCCTGCTCCCAGACCCTCCCTGAGGCCTTCATGCCCTTTGTGTCCCCAAGACATTGGCGAGACAGGCGGTGCCTTTCACCCAGTCACACACCATGTCATATGCTTTCCGTGAGTGAGCCCATCTGCTCCACATGAGGACCGTATGAGGCAGGTCCATAGTCGTCTCTGCCCCGCAGAGGGGGAACTGAGGCTGGGGCTTGCTCAGAGGTAAAGGTGGGACTTGAAGCTCCACGCCCAGAGCCTGTGTCCCTGTCCCAGCCCCCTGCTCAGGCCCCCGCCGTGGGCACCTGCTGCCACAGCCACAAGGGGCCTTGATTGTTACTTGGGAGATTGATGCAAGGTGCTCATGGATCATTCCTTTTCACTGCCACCTAACTGTCCCGCAGAGCTGGCTATGTTGCAACTTATTAACCTTATTAACATGTCGGAGGGCATTGGAGCTCCTTCCAAAGATTTGGTTATTGCTGTTCTGTGTTCAGGAATGCAAATAGACTTGGTAAGGGTTTTATAAATGCAGGAGAATAAAAGTCACGGAACCCCGGGGGAGAGGGAGAGGGAGAAGGGAGGGAGACTCGGAGAGGGGGGTTCTTGAAGTGGGATACTCTGTGACAGCTCAGCAACACTGTGCTTCCTGCCCCCGCCCAGTCCTCCGGTCCCCAGCACATGTTAAAAAACTACATTGTGTGGAGTGCCTTGGGTGGTTCAGTGGGTTAAGCCTCTGCCTTCAGCTCAGGTCATGATCTGGGGTTTTGGGATCGAGCCCCGCATCGGGTTCTCTGAGCAGCAGGGAGACTGCTTCCCCCCTCTCTCTGCCTGCCTCTCTGCCTACTTGTGATCTCTCTGTCAAATAAATAAAATCTTAAAAAAAAAAAAAAAACTACATGGTGAAGGAGCCCTAAGTCACACCTCTAAGAAAGCAGCCCCAACCCCACAGTGAGAGGAATGAACCCCAGCCCACCTCGCTTCCAGGAGGCTGAGAGGGGTAGTGGGGGGGGGGGGCCTCTGGAACCAGCCTGCCTGTGGCCAAGTCCCAGCTCTTCCAGGAACCACCTGGGTTTCCTTGGGTGGGGTTCTTCAGCAGCCCATGCCTCGGTTTCCCTAACTGTAAACAGAGGCTGACAGTAGGACCTACTCCTTGCTGCACAGTTTAAACAGGAGATAGGTCTACAGGGGTTCGTTCAGCTACTCTCCCTATGTTGGCCGTGAGAACCTTCATTCTTAGGGCACAGGAAGAGGCAGCAGAGTCTGTCCCGCAGACTGCCCAGGCCACCTGATACACACACGCGCGCACACACACACATGCCGAGCCCTGTCCCTGGGCATCCCCGCCCCCGCAGTGCTCTCCCTGCTGAGGACAGTCTGAGGGCTGGCAGCACTATGCAGGAGCAGATCAGGGCCACAGGAGCCCGAAGGAGCACAGCAAGGCGGTGGGAAGAGCGAGCAGAGTCAGGAGTGGGCTGACCTCCTGGAGCAGGGTCGGAGAGCAGTAGGGGGAGCTGGGCCGATCGCCGCACTCGGCCAGGAGCCAGGGGTCCTGCTGCCCTGGGCATGGAAGCCCATGAGCAGGCACCAGAGCTCATGCCGGTCTCCCTAGAGGTCGCCAGCCTACAGCAAGAGCCTGCCTCTGCAGGAGACCTTGGGATCCAGCAGAAGGGCTATGGCAAAGCCTGGAAACTATCCCTCTCTGAGACACGGCCCCTTCCTTGCCCCCCAGCCAGTGCCCTGCCTATAGGACACCCTGTTCAGAGCCCAGGGGCCCTTCTGCCAGAGCTAGGGAGCCTGCCACACCCCTCAGGGCACTCACATGGACATGTTCTGGAAGCCCGTGCCATTTTCTTGGCTGCCGGAGACTGGAATTGTGCAGGGTCCATATGCTGAGCTCTCAACAACAAGGAGCAGGACCAGCAGGGCTGGGACCCCTGAGAGGTAAGACAGAGGCTCAGCACCTGTCAGGTGACCCTGAGAGGGGCTGGTCATGGGTCCCTGGGGCTGCTAAAACAGAATTCCACTGAGCAAGCAGGGAGGGGAAGGTCTCTTCTGCGCCCCCAGGCCCTGCCATACGGTCCAGCTTCAGGGCACTTAGCCTGTAGGTCTTAGAGGAGGCTGCGCTCCAAGATAGTGTCAGTGAGGGCTCCAGGGTGGGATGGGAGTGGCAGTGGTGGTGGGGAGATGGAGCTAACAGGACAGAGGGCTGGCGGAACTCAGGAGGAAACCGAGATAGTAAAGAGGAGCTAGGATGGGGTTAGAGGTGCCAGTGATGGTGGTGTCAGAGACAGTGTTGAAGACGAGGATGAGCATGGTGGTGATGATGGAGGTGGAGGTGAAGGTCGTGGTAGAGTCAGGGGCAGACATATTCGTGGCGTTGATGGCAGTGTTGGAGGTAGACATGGTGGAGATGATGGCGGAGGTGATGGAAGTGTCGGAGGCGGTAGTGATGTTGGTAGATGTTGTTGGTAGATGATGGTGTTGGAAGCGATGCTGATGGAGGTGTTGGAGGTGATGGTGATGGAGGAGTCAGAGGTGATGATGGAGGTGTTGGAGGTGATGATGGAGGCGGTGGAGGTAGAGGGGACAGAGGTATTGGAGGTGGTGATGATGGAGGTGTTGGAGGTGATGATGATGGAGGTGTTGGAGGTGATAATGGAGCTGTTGAAGGTGATGTTGGAGGTGGAGGGGATGGAGGTGTTGGAGGTGGAGGGGATGGAGGCGTTGGAGGTGGAGGTGATGAAGATGTTGGAGGTGATGGTCATGGAGATGTTGGAAGTAGAATGGATGATAAGAACAGTAGAGCAGAAAGTAGCGGCGAATGTTGACAGGGATGAGCCGTGCTCAGGATGCGGTAACTATGATGAGGAAGAGGAGAAGAGAAGGGCAGGAGTGGGGTAGACACACTGTCCACTGTCCAGCCAGAAGCCTCAGGGAGCAAGATCGGAGGGAGGCTCTGCTTACCCCAGCCCACTGCACAGAGCTTGAGCAAGTATCGGCGGATGTAGATGTTGTAGACGCGCCCAAGGAGCAGGTAGAGATTGAAGCCTTCGATGGCCGTCCAGGTGAGGCAGCTGAGCAGTGCAAAGTGCAGGATGGCAGCCACTGCTGTGCACGCTGACCCAGGCACAGGGGGTGTGGCCGGCAGAGGACTCAGCAGGAAGGCGACATTCAGGAGCAGCACGGAGGCGTGCAGGTTCATGTGTATGCGTGTCATGGAGTCGCCCTGCTTCCTGCACGTGGAAGCATGACCTTCCATGGTCTGGGGACATCACCCAGGCAGTGCCACCCCCCAGGGCTCAGGGACACATGACTGAGGTTGGGGGTGGTGTCAGGGACTGAACAGCAGCCACAGAGCAAGGCTGGTCTCCTGCCTCCCAACCTCCATGCCCTGGAGGAGCACACCCTGCTCTGGGGGGTCAGTTAGATAAGAAGGAGGGGTGCTGAGCAGCAGCAGGTGGGCAGGCCCAGCCCGGGGGCAGGGGAGTACCTGGCTTGGAAGTGCAGCAGGACAGTGAGAATCGAGGACACAATGGAGATGCTGCAGCCCACCAGGGAGATGTATATGAGAGGCACCAGCAGCTCTCTGGGGACCGGGGCTTGGGACAGCTGCTGCAGGAAGGAAGGAGAGATGGGGGACAGAAGCATGGAAATGCCCTCCCGACAGTGACAGGGACCTGCTAAGACCTTAGCTCCAAACTCCCCTGTCGCACCACAAACCTCACTGTGGTCCTGGCTTTAAAAAAAAAAAAAAAAAGGCCTGGCAGACATAGTGGCTTTTGCCCTCCCTCAACTCCCATCTCCCCTTTTTCTATGAGAACCTCCCCTCCCCCACTGTCTGTGCACATGGCCGGTCCTACTATGTGTGAACAGGTGCACTAGGCCTGATTTATCAGAGCCCTCCCTCCTCCTGCCCAGTGACTGGTTGAGGGATGGGAGTGGGACACACTCTAATGCAGTGGGACCCAATCCCAAGACTAGTTGGCAGAATTGGGTAAGAGAAAGCTCTCATTCTACTTGCCTAACAGCTAGTAGGACATGAGCCTGGGTCTGCTAGCAGCCATATTATTATCCTGTGGGGAAATCCTGTCCGAAGGCTAGGCCAGCACAAAGCAAGCACGGCTGGGAGATAGATAGAGCCCTGTCTTGGTGATATTGAGCATCTGGATCAAGCCATGCCTGATGTTATGAAGCTATGTTAGTCTTCTTCAGCAACATGAGTTCATAAGTTTCTCTTTTACCTCCTTAAGCCCATTTGAGTTGGATTTTGTCCCCTACACCAACCTCTGCCTTGCTCCTTTTGCTTAGACATGGGGCCCTTTATTGCTTTGACTCCCCTCAGCTGGACTGGAGACACATACCATGAGAACAGCAAAGTAGCTGAGGTGATTGCAGCGGCAGAGCACCCTGGAAGGTGAGAGCTGCTCTGTGCGACAGCCCTCAGGGCTCCAGACCCCCCAGTAACGTTTACTGGCTCCTTCCTTCCAGAAGACACAGGTCACCTTGTAGCCTTCCTAAGGGAAGAGGCTGGAGTTGGGTGCATCCAAGGGATGTGGGGGAGGGCCGTGGGTCAGAGTCTGGAAATTGTAGGGGCCAAAGTTGATTTAACTGCACCCTAGTCAACATTTTACCAGGCACTGGCTGGGCTTTGGCATCAGACAGAACCAGATTCCAGCCTCACCACTACTCTGACTCTCAGAGTAACCTGGGCAAGTTGTTGAGCTTCTCTAAACCTCAGTTTATTCATCAGCAAAATGGGATCATCTATACCCAAGTCCTAAGGATGGTATTAAATTACAGGCAGTGAGGAATCTTGAGGGTCCAGCTCTGGCCGGAAATTATTTGTTCTGTAATCAACTGTCCCCTTTCCCTTCCTCCCAATGGAGAACAATGATGGTGCAGCCCCAAGCCCAGTGTTGGGGAGAGACTCACTCACAGACAACCTGGATGCCAAGTCATGTGGGTTGAGGGGGGGGCAAATGACACAGGCAGTGCCATGGAAAACCACTGAGGAATGAACCTTTGCAGGGGCAAAGCCTCAGAGGAAAAAAAAGGAAGTATGGGGGCACCTGGGTGGCTCAGTAGGTTAAAGCCTCTGCCTTCGGCTCAGGTCATGATCTCAGGGTCCTGGGATCAAGCCCTGCATTGGGCTCTCTGTTCGGCAGGGAGTCTGCTTCCCTCCCTCTCTCTCTGCCTGCCGCTCTGCCTACTTGTGATCTCTGTCAAATAAATAAATAAAATCTTTTTTAAAAAGGGGGAGGGGGGAATATGATGGAGAAATTGGGAGTGCAGCACAGTCCCAAAGAGGCTGACAGGAAGTCAGGGCAGAACACAGAGGCCCTGGGCTTTTAAGGGATGCCAGGGCCAGAAGAGTAGAGGCCTCAGAGCTTATGCCTGCCCAGCAGCCCTTCTCCCTTCCTCCAGGATCAGCTTCTGCATTTCTCTGGAGGACCCACGCCTCCCCCCATGGCAGGTCAGATGAATCCAGCCCAGTCCCTGAGCCATGTGACCCGGGCCTAGCCAATGCCACATTCCATCGACCTGGTTCAGAGATGGACACATGACCCAGCTGGACCTTTAGAACTCCATTCTGGGACCCTGGTTTGCACTGATGAGGAAGAGCCTGCTGGGAAGAGGGGACAGAGGTCTAGCACTTAAGCTGCCATCTTGCCAGAGTAGAGAGCCAAGGCAGGAAACCATTGCTGAGAAATGGAAAGAGGCTGAGTCAGGATGGCATTATATAAGCCCCTGGATCTAGCCATGCCTGAAGCTTGACAGCTCTGGACATTTTATTTACTTGAGTCAATCAATTCCCTTTTGTGCTTAAGCTGGCTTCACTTGGTTTTCTATCACTTGCAACTCAGAGTCCTGCCTAGGGGGCATCTGTGTGTCTCATTTTGTTAAGTTTCCAACTCTTGATCTCATTTCCTGGTCTTGATCTCAGGGTCCTGAGCCCAAGCCCTGGCACTGGGCTCCATGCTGGGTATGGCGCCTACTTAGAAAGAAAAAAAAAAAAAAAAAAAAATCCTGCCTACTGCAGTAACTAAAAACTTCTCTCTGATTCTTTTGACAGGAATTTTTAAACTATGATAGATTTGAAATCATTTGTTTCCAAAATGCTGCTACAGATTTGGGTTTGGTCAAGCCAAAGTTCAACAGGAGAGCCACAAGGGGGAAGGGGAGAGGTGGAAATGGGGGCACCCCCCAAAGTACCAGACTCTGGTTGTGCTGGAAGCTGATGCTGATAGGCTCGTTGAGGTTGCTCACGTGTCCCTGTCCCAGCTGGGCCCCCAAGACGCAGTTATTGAGCACAAGTGAGTTGGCATTCTGGAACGACAGCAAGAAGGGCTGACTGCAGGGGACTCAGGGAGACCCCCGCTGAGGGCTGAGAACCCCCCTTCACCAGCCCCTTCTCCCGGAGGAGAGCAAGGAGCATGCCGGTCACGTGGCCCGCATGGCCAACCTCGCAGCCTTCAGGCGCCCCGTCCCCTCCACCCAGAAAGCTGTCCTCTCCCTACCCACACCTCTCTGCCCTGTGTTGAGAGCATTCAGCCTCCATCCTAACTCACCACTATCCTCACTCACTTTCAAAGCCAAGGTTAAAAAGGCATCTTTGTCTATCTCCCCTAGGACAGGCTCACACATAGGTTTCCTATAAGTGGGCCTGCCCACCATTCTCCTCTTACTGAGGCCCGGAAGGGGCAATGCCTGGGGCCACGAAGGGCTGGTCCCACCCAGAGCGAGTCCCCACCATGAGGCCAGTGGATGATGTGGATGTTCACAGTGCCCCCAGGAAGGGGCCCGCGCCTACCCTGCTTGGCCCACCAAGGCACAGACCTGGAAAAAGTAGGCTGTGGAGAAGTAGATGCAGATGAGACGCAGCTCCCTGGGGCGGGCCCTGCAGGTGTCCTTGGTCAGCTCTGCCGGGAAGTGCATGGCGTGGGAGACCCCAGCCTATGGAGGGGGCGCAAACAGGCTCAGCCTGGGGTGCATGGCCTCTGGAGCCGGCCCAACACTTTCACTGCTCCCCACTCCTTGTGACGCCTTCCCGGCCTGACCCCAGGCATTTCATTTCTCTGAGCCTCCACCTGCAGAGCTCTCTCCCGGTTAGCAGGCTGCCCCTCCTCCCAAACGCGCTGAGGTCCCAGGCCCTACTTCCAGGCCGCCCCACCTTAAATGACCCCACCCAGCTGCGGCCCCTGGGGCTGGAGCTCCTCTGCCTTCAGCGCCCAGGCATTCAGTAGGAATCACATGGTCTTTGGATTCCCTGGCCTCTCCCACAGCTGCCTCCCTCCATAGACCTGCAAAAGCAGGAAGACAATGCCACCCTTGCGGGGCCACAGGGTACCCCCTTTTCCATCATTTGCATGAGGGACATCAGCCCCATTTTACAGAGGAGGCAACTCACAGCTAGGCGGGCAAACTGGATTAGTTTGGGTGGGGGAGGGGAGTCAGGACCTTAAGCCCTGCCTGTCCCCCAATCCCGGCCCCCAACCACGACCTCTGACCTGGGAGTACTGCTCCATGGTGGTGCTGTTCAGTGAGAGGCCTGCGAAGCCGCAGCCCAGCTTGAAGATCAGTGACTGGATAGAACGTGTCTGCAAGGTCAGGTTGTTGCCCCTGAAGCTGGCATTCAACAGGCTGTTCTCCAGTTCCCGGATGTTGCTGAGGGCAAGAGAGCTGACCTGGGTCCGCGGTGGACTTGGGGGATGGAGGGGCCCCAGGCAGCCTAGAAGGACGGGGCTTCTCCCATCCCCAGACCTCAGCACGCAGCGCGTCCCTGGCACACGCTTACCTCTCCACCCCACTCATCCATGTCTCCTGATTACCTCTCTATCTGGTCCAGCTTTGCTGACACCTCCTTCCGGAATCCTTTTCTAACTCTTCTCTAGTGGCTGAGTGAAATGCCTGATAGTCCCTGGGCTTCCCCGGCCACTCACCAGCCCTATCCCCTCACCCGCAGCTGCGCACCCATTAAGATCTCGGACCCCAGAGAGAGCCCAACCCGAGTCTTGTCCCTCCTTCCCGGACAAATGCAGAGACGGGATTCTGCACCAGGTTTCATTGCCTCCATAGCTAAAGGCCCCAGCCAGAGATCAGACTTGATGAGGGCAGGGCATGCTTATCCTGCCTCTCCAGAACCTAGTGCCAGGCACACAGTGGGTACTCAATAAATGCATGTTGAATAAATGGATTAACGGTCCACACTGGACAGCCCTGAACCACTGACTCAAGGTGAGAGCTAGGGGTAGGAGGCACAGCTGACTCTAGGTGGACGAGGGAATCTTCTGACTCACTCAGGAAGAGAAGCCAGTCTGCGGCCTTTGGATATGGTCTCCAGTTTCTTCATGCATCGCAGGGGTTCTTGGGATGTGTCTGCAGGGAGAAAGTCAGACCTCTATTTCAGCCTCTGTCCCTGAGCCTTCCACCCCAGCCTCAGTCTTGCTGCTGCCCGAGGTGGCCGTGGTGCCCCCTTTCAAGCTCCCTTGGTTCAAGGGATCCCCCTTTCATGTCACAGCCAGGGGCCTGGGCTAGGATGGCCCCCCAGTTCAGCATCACCCTCTTACCCATTGTCTCACTCTGAGAAGTCATGAAGCACAGGCAGAGGAAAAAGGCCCCCCGGCAATCCATGCCTTGTACCCGGTCTCTTCTGAGAACCGGCTTCTGCCCTAGAAAAGATGCAGGTCACTGTCACCGTGGTAAGAGAGTGACCTCTCACTTCAGGTGTCTCACATGTCCCAAGTGTAGGACGTCTAGCATCTTAATTGATCCTCGTTACTCTTGCATTTCACAGATGGGGAAACTGAGGTTCAGGGCGGAAGTGGTCTTGCTCTGTATGAGGTACCCTGAGTCAGGTCTTTATGACTCCAGAACCCCTGACCATTTGTTCAGAAATGGCTGTCAGTAACAGCTTTGCTTGAGTCACTCCCCGTCCCCAAAAATGGGCTCTCTAGGGGCTCCTCTGGGCCCCTGATTTCATCCAGGAAAAGACACTTGGAAGCAACATGTAATCCTGTCCACCTCTGTCATTGATCCACGTGTGACTTTGGACAAAGATTTGTCCCTCCAAGCTTTTGTTTTCTGTGGTTTTAAATTTTTTTTTTTAAGATTTTAGTTATCTGAGAGAGAGAGAGAGAGCACAAGCAGGGGAAGTGGCAGGTGGAGAAGCAGGCTCCCTGCTGAGCAGGGAGGCCAGCGCAGGGCTCCATTCCAGGACCCCTTGATCATGACCTGAGCCAAAGGCAGATGCCTAACCGACTGAGCCACCCAGGCGCCCCTTCTGTGGTTTTAAAATAAACTAAGACATTTCTGCTTAAATATAGCAAATTTATGTCAAATCCCCTGAAACTCCACTAAACCGAGAGTGAGTGAATAAAATGGGCAGAGAGCTGCACAGACAGAATGAAGAGAAAGAAGACAACAGCAGGCAGGAAAAGGTTAGCAAAACTCTGGAGATGCCAAAGCAGGTATCACCCCGAGTGCCTGCTGTGGGGAGAGGTGTGGAGTGAGGGGAGGGGAGTGGGAAGGGGACACGGAGAAGCCTCACAACCCTGGGAACACTTGAGAACTAGAGGCATCAAGAACCTCTAAAAACAAGGATGAGGGGTAAAACAAAAAAATGGGATATAAAAGCTTGTGAGGTTTTGGGTTTTTTTTTTTTTTTTTTTTGGAGAGAGAGAGCACATGTGTGAGCCTAGGGTGGGAGGGGGCAGAGGGGCAGAGGGAGAGGGAGAGAGAGAATCCAAGCAATCTCCACACTCAGCAGAGAATCCAACATGGGACTCGATCTCACGACCCTGAGATCATGACTTGAACTGAAATCAAGAGCCAATGTTTAACCAACCAAGCCACCCAGGTGGCCCAACTGTGAGTCTGTAAAGTGACCAGCTGGGGTCCCAGATTTCCTCCTCTACCTGGGGTGTCCAGGACCACTGTCACAACCCTACCATCCTCAACGCCACCCCAACATAAAGTTCATTCCCTGGAGACAGTGCATGATAGACAATCTAAGGGGAAGGATGGGATGCCATTCATGTATAGAAAAATTAAGCCATGTTCCTTCCCACCTCCTCCTCCACTCAGCTTCCAGAAGCCTGCAACAGCCAGGTAGTGATGCTCTAAGGCAGAAGAAAATTCTTCTCTAAAGAACTGGCCATTCCAAGAAAAATATCCTATCGTTACAGATGTTTTGGTGCTCCTCAATGAAATGCCCAGGACCAAACTTAGGGTGAAGCTTTCCCAGTCAACAACTGGGAACTAACACTTAACTGCTCTGACAAGCAGTTAAGTGTTAGTGCTGCACTCTCAAAGATGAATGGTCAACCAAGGATCACTAGGTATTTTAAAGCACATACCCTCTCTCAGAAAGCTGCTGGAGGATACGCTCCAAGAGAACAAGGGAGTAAATCATGAAAGACAACATAGGGTACAGGAAATCCCACCAGAGAAGAGGTGAAACTACTTCACAGAAAATGCAAGAAGCTACTCCCCCCGGGTGTTGGTGGGACAGCAGGACCAGGGTCTATCCTGCCCAGAAGGCGGCAGGAGAAAAGAAGGTTCCAGGATGGAACAAATAAACAACAAATAAAAGGAGAAGAATATAAAGAATTGGATGAAGTGTATACAAAATCTTTCTGTACTTTTTTTTTTTTTGCAACCTCCTGTGAACTGATCGTTGTTTTCCAAAGTAAAAAATTCAAAGTTCAGTACAATGGAATGCCATTTCACTATCAAAAATCATGATGTCATTAAGGACATAAAAGAGGAGCACAGTATACCATTCACTGCCTAGAAAGGGCCAGTAGAACATAACACACACAATGGAATTACATGTATGGAACTTTATGGTAATATACATGTTTAGGCCTAGGAGCGTATCTAGAAGAACAGTCACCAAAATGTTAATAATGTTATGGGGAGGAGGATTCCTTTCTTTTTTAGGTTTTCCGGTACAGTTCAAATTTTCCACGACAAACATGTATTACCCTCGCAACAAAAAAACAAGTCTTTAATGCTTAGAATTTTTTATGTTCCAAATGACTACCATTATGGAAAAATAATGGTGGCCTATTATTTATGAAAAAAAAAAAATCTTGCAAAGCAATGTAATCCAATTCTTGTAAAAGTCACATTTTTTTATAGACCCAAGTTCTGAAAGCTGTGGGGGTCACTTGTGTGTGGTGAGGTTCAGACTCTTGTTTTGGGTGCCCCAATTTCCCAATGTTACCCCATACATTACAGTTACACATTTCTCAATTTTTATTTACTCTTAAGAGAGTTGTTGTGTTTTTAAGGAGGCTCCCCACCCAGCATGGAGCCCAACACAAGGCTTGAACTCATGAACCTGAGATTAAGACCTGAGCTGGGGATCAAGAATCAGATGCTTGACTGACTGAGCCACCCAGACGCCCCTGCTCTTCAGAGAGTTTAGAAATTTACATCTTTCAAATCCAAACAATAAGTAAGTCCACAAAGGTGTAAATGCAAATGATCTCTGTCTCCTGTGTCACCCAACCACTCCCTTCCCAGGTAGTCTCCCCCAGGTAACTACTGCTGCTAGGGCTTGCTGAATCTTCCCAAGTCTCAAATAAATATAAGGATATAAGATTCTCCTCGTCTTACATGAAAACTTTTTTGGCTTGGAAATACATCTTGGAGAGCTTTCCGTAACAGTACCTAGAGTTTCCACTTTTTCTTTTCCAACTGCACAGTCTGACGTTGGAGGGAAAAGCACTAACTTATTCAGCAGATGCCCTCAGAACAGCAGGCTGTGTGGGTTCCAGTCTTTGGTTCCTTCCAACAGTGCAGCTGTTCTGACAACATTTCTCCCACGTCCAAGTTCACCATCCACCCATTTTTGTTTTACGTTCAAAGCTTCCTTACCATCTTCTCGAAACTCTTTACATAGTAGGGAAATTAGCTCGTGGTCTATTATGTGAGTTGCAAATATGTTTCCTGTCTTATCATTTGTCTTTGTACATTACATATGGTCCTTCTGCCGTGTATAAGTCTTTTTTTATGTGTATAATTTTTGTGTGACCAGAATTACCAGTATTTTTCTCTTTTGGCTTCCGGATTTTGAGTCAAAGCTAGAAAGGCCAACCTACCCTACTCCAGGTATAAAGGAATTCTCCTAAGTTTCTGGTAGGACTTGTGAGGTTTCATTGTTTACATGGGAACCCTTAGTTCATTTGCATCAATCCTGGAGTACAGTATGAAATGGGGATGTGATACTTTTTTCTGGGTGCTCCCATCCATTTATCTTAACATTATTTATTAATATATGTGTTTATTTGAAAAGAGACTAGAAGGGCTCCTGGGTGGTCTGGTCAGTTAATCATCTGACTCTTGGTTTCTGCTCAGGTCATGATCTCAGGGCTGTGGGATTGAGTCCTGGTCGGGCTACGTGCTCAGTGGGGAGTCTACTTGAGAATATCTCTCTTCCTCTCTCTCTGCCCCTACCTCACACCTCCCCCGCCTCAAATAAATAAATCTTTGAAAAAGAGAGAGAGAGAGAATAGAGACTTTGGTTGGAGTCATAGAACACTGGGTTCTTAATCATTTGGCCACTTGGTTAGCTACTCGGCTGTGTTATCTTGGGCAATTCTCAGAACCTCAGAGAAGAGAGGAGGGAAAGATCTGAGGAGACAAAGGAAGTGCTGAAGGAAACAATTTGAGACGTTTCAGATGAGAAGACTGACGGCCCCATGTTGCAGACAGGATCTTGGGTCATCTTGTCCCCTCCCTCACTGTGTGAATGGAGAAACTGAGGCCCAGACCACAATGTGGATTTGACCTCCAGGGTCTGGACCATAAGGCTTGGACCCCAAGCCCTTGGCCACCCTGCTCTGTGTCTACAGAGGGAAGAGGGTGGCCTAACCCCATAACCAGCTGGAGAAATCAAGGCCAAAGAAGAAGTGAGACCTCCTCCAAGTACCCCAGATGGCTGTGGTTTCCACTCCCTTTCCCAGGGGCGAACCACAGTCCTCACTTCCACTTGAGACTTCAGCACCGCTCTCCCCAGCCCTTCAGAGTAGCCACTGTGCCTGGTCACCCCACACCCTCACCCCTCTCACCATCTACCCTGCAGCTCCTTATCTGGGGCCTCCTGGGAAACAGAACTCCCTTACCTGATGTCCAAGATGGTTCCAGTGGATCGTGGGGAAACTGGAAACCACTAAGAGTTGGCCTGGGGTTATAGCAGGCCAGTGGTCAGGCTGGGACTCAAACCCAGCACTGTAGACTCCAAGTCAGCTGCCCTCCCCGCGCTGTGCACTGCAGCCTCTCCAAGACGGCTGGGGGTCTGAGTTGCTCTACAAATGAGTAAGACTCTGTCGAGGCCAACAAAGAGATGAGGAAACACGCAGAGTGCAGGCCACAGGCTTTAGAAGATGCAGATTTGATAATCAGTTCCAGTAGTCAGTGCCTGGGCCATGACATTGGGCAATAAGTCCATTTCTCCATGCTTCAGGGTGTCTTGTCCATAAAGTGAGGCCAAGGAGACCTATCTCCCAGGAAGAGAGACTCAGAGACATTTTCACATTCCCCACTGCAAGTTCAGGGCTCTGATCCAAAGCCCCAGCCCAGGATATATCTGAGCATAAGACTTGGGACCCCCTGCCTTCCTCCCTGGGGCTGACCATGCATCCCCCCCCACCCCCCTGCAGCCCACCCTGTCTCCCACAGCCCCAGGCCTGCTGATCCAGTCACACCCCTGCATGTGGCCCCGCTGCCCCCGGCAAACAGCCACTCCTGCCAGACACAGGCTGGAGCTCCCACCGCGGGCCTCACCACGGCCTGGGAGGTGAGTGAACCCATGGTCTCTGAAGGAAATCCCTGACAAGTAGCACTCTTATCCCCATTTCACAGGCAGGGAAAGGGAGGCCACGCTAAGGCCCAGCCAGAGTCTGCGACCAAGCCAGCACCAGAGCCACTTCCCTGAGACATACTGTCCCCAGGCTCCAGTCCAGGTCACTCTGAGAGGAAGGGCACCAGCTCGCATTGCCCAGTAGAAACTTCTGGGCTAGAAATTTCTGGGTAGAAACATGTGGACCCTCCCCCATGTCATCCGTGGTACAGATTACCAGATTCACCCCATTTTACCAATGAGGAAACTGAAATCCAGAAAAGTCTAATAACTTGCCCTAGGCCACAGTGGGGAGCTAGGATTTGAACCCAATGCCTAACCACTCCTTAATTTAAATTGCTCTTTAAAAAAATAAATAGAGGGCCACCTGGGTGGCTCAGTGAGTTAAGCCTCTGCTTTCAGCTCAGGTCATAATCCCAGGGGCCTGGGATGGAGTCCCAAGGAGGGCTCCCTGCTCGGTGGGGAGCCTGCTTCCCCCTCTCCCTCTGCCCTCCCCACCCCCTGCTCATGCTCTATCAAAGCAATAAATAAAATCTTTAAAAAAATAGATAGGTGGAGAGATCGACAGACTTCTACATTCCCAGAGATTCTGGAGTTGCCACCAGAGGGTGAAGAGGATAAGGGCGGGTCCCCAGCCGGGAGCCCCTAGGATGTCACCGATTCTGGGCCCACCAAGGCAGGGACAAGCCTGGTGCCTGCTGGGGACCTACAGATGAGGACAGAGAGCTGCGGGAGCAAGGAATGGTGCTGCCCGGTGAAGCTGACCTGTGGGGCCGCTGCTGTCCAGCTGCTGCGTCGCTGTCACCGTCCTGTCCACAGAGAGAAAGAGAAGTTGGATGTGTGTGCCGGGGCTGCCTCTCTGCACTGCTCAGCCCAGGTCCTCAGACCTCCCCTTCTCTCTTCACCCCGTGCCCCCACACCACACCACGCTCAGGCTTCACTTCTTCTTTCCCCGCCAGCAGCCTTTTGCTTCCTCTGAACTGGTAGCTGGGCAGGACATCTCTTGCTCTCACCCTTACCTGGTGCCTGTAGCACTTCCGGGGGGTAGCTGAACCTTGCAGAGGCGCTCGGGCTGTGGGGAGGCGGGGGAGGGCTGGCCCACGTAGCACCTGGCAAGGTTTCAAGACCCACCTCCGCTCTACGCCTTTTTGGCCTCAGTTTCCCCACCTTCAGGAAAGGGAGAATGATCCCGCCTGACCTGACAGACAATTAATGGGACTGAGAAGGCCCCAGCCTCAGGCGAGGGCGGGGTTTGACAGCCTGGCCTCAAACCACAGGCCTGCCATTTACCGGCTGGGGGACTTTGGGCGAGTGACTGAAACCCTCTGAGCCGCAGTTTCCTCTCTAACATGGAGATGAGACAGTACCACCTCATGGGGTAGTGTGGCACTTCTGGGAGGTGATGCTGCCAAGCCCCCAGCACTATGTTTCACAGCTGTGGAAAGGCCTCGCTGGGAACGGAGAGCAGGGAAGACCGGGCCAGACTGTGGCTAGAGGCTGGTCCGCCTGTCCTGCTCCAGCTACTTCCTCCGCAGAACCCCCAAGGGGAAGGGGAGGTGTCTGTGTGAATTGGTGGGAGGCAGGGTGCTCTCTCTCGCTCAGCCAAACTCCCTGGGAAAATTCTGACTCAGGAATGTACTTTCCTTTCCCCAAGGTGAGATGGGGAGGCAGCAAAGGGGAGAAAGCAGTCAAGTCCCAACAGGGTCTCTCTTCCCTCTTCCCCCACCCAAGCACAACCCACAGGCGGTGGCTCAGCCATCTACGGGAAGCGGGCAGAGAGCTGCGCCTCTGAAGGCAGCAAGACTTAGGGGGAGCGCAGACCCACGTCTCCAGGCCCACCACCACCGCAGCAGCAGGGACATCCATGCACCTGTGACCTGATCCCTCGGCTACACTCCTGCTGGATGACTTGAGCAAGCCTTTGCCTTTCTCTGCACTTGACCCAGATCATGACCTCCAAGCCCTTCCTTCTGAGGTCTCCTAGCCACTTCTAGAATTACAACACCAGCAGTCTTCCTCCTTATGCTTCTTGCGAACCCAGGCGGCTGCTTTCGGGGCCCAGGAGGAGGCCCCGCTCACCCTGATGCTCCTCTATTTTCCACCCGGGATCTGTGCCAGCCTCACTATGCCTTGCCTCTGGTGGAGTGCTGGTTTTACCTCACCCTGCTCTCCAGACCCTAGAAACCATGGCCAAGACCCTCCCCAGCTCAAAAGCCAGCAGTGGCTCCCTATTGCCTTCATGGTCTAGACCCATCTGGCTTCTGTGTCTGCCCACTTCTGGATGAGCTTGCCACAGTCACACTCACCTCTCTGCTCTGTCCCAGCTGCAACACACACGTGTGCTGGGCAGGACCCCAGTTCTTCTCCATCTCTCAGGGGCCCATGGGGCAGCTCCTGTCCTGCTTCCGCTGAGAAGGCTGCGCTGTCTCTGACTCCCCTATTAAACATCCCAGATACCTGAGCATTAAAAGCATGCCAGTCCCTCGGTCAGCACCCCAGGCAGGGAGAAGGGCAGCAGGCCACCTCCCACCCCCACACACACACCATCCCCAGTGACATGTCTCTCCCCGTAGGGCTGCTCACCCTGTGATCAGTGAAGGATGGGAAGGGGGACCGCCAACAGGACATGTCATAAACTGAGTCGCACCATGAAAAACTCATTTAGTTTTCAGTGTTTTCCAATCCTGGTTGCATCTGAGAGAAGGCTCCATTTAGAGCCAAATTTTCTCTAACTCCTCTCTTCCCCTGCCCTGTGTCCTTATTTTATTTTTCATTCTTCAACCTTTTATTGGACACAGAAAATGAGATATCTGATTTTGAATGATTTTTGTATTGTGGCAAAATATACATATAATTTACCATTTTGACCCTTTTGTGAGTGTACAGTTCAGTGGCCTTAATTACACGGCCGTTACCACCGTCTACCTTCTCCAGAACTTTCCCACCTCCCAAAGGGAAACTCTGTCCCTGTTAAGGAGCAAGTTCCCTCCCCCTTCACCCCCTCCCAACAGCCCCTGGCAGCCACCATTCCCATTCTACTCGGCTCTATGAACTTGATCACCCTAGAAACCTTATGGAAGTGGGATCACCTAATAGTTCTCCTTCTCTGACTGGCTTATTTCACTTCACATGGATCAGCCTTTCCTTCCTTTTTAAGGCTGAATAATATTCTTTTGAATGTACAAATAGACCAATATCATTTATCCATTTGTCCCCTGACAGACCCTTGGGTGGCCTCTACCTTTTGGTTCTTGTGAAAGGTGTACAATCACGTCCCTATTTAACAAAGAGCCAGTTTCTAGTTTCTCAGTGGTGTTGTGTGTTTACACGGTATTTATTTTTATGATTTTCTTCTATTTATGGCGACCGATGCCGATTTCCTACTTACTCTAAAATACCCGTACGTCTTACAACATGGAAATGACGGGCAGGGAACGTGCTAGGTGTCGATGGCAAAAAGTGGCAGCAGGGGTACAAGACAGAACTTCTGGAATGTGGAAAATACCAACACAGTCCTCTGTCGAAAAGCCCACTGGGCTGAGCTGGGGAAGGAACCCCTTCGGAGGGCTGCCAGGAGGCTGACACCAGTGGGCAGTCTGGGGGTGTGGGTTCAGGAACAGTAGGGACAATGTTAAGTAACACTGAGTCAGATTGGGGCTCTCAGACCTTCTGGTTTTGTGCCTCTTCCAAGCCTGTCCCTTGATCTCTGATTCTCACTTTTCTCACTGTAGGCTGGTGGGGCGGCTGAACAGTGAGATAATTCCTATGAACTGCCATGCTTCAGGTCTGTCCCCATCTTGGTTCCATGACAGGTGGAATCTCCCCACCTGCTGCAAGGCACATAATTAGGACTACTTCCTTTCTTAAGAGAAAGGGCCCAGCTGTGATGTTCTAACTGGAACTGAAATTCACTGCCGACTCAGCCTCCTCAACCTTCTCCAGCCCCCCTGCTGCCTCCAGAAACTCTGGGAAAGAACCTGGGGCTCTTGGCCCATTGCTGTCCTTACCAGCCATGGGACTCTGGGTAAGTCTGATCCATAAGCGCCCCCTGAGCATTTCCTCAGCTTTGGAATCCTTTGGTAGTCAGTTCTTTCTGGAAGGACGCGGTCATTTCTCTCTAAGTGATGTTCTCTTCCTCTGTGGTCAGCTGCGGCTTCATTTGTACCGCGTCATGCCAACTTCACGAAACCCCACACTTTTTGCAAGATTTGCAGTTTTGCTGGTCTGTTCAGTTGCTTCATATCTGCAGGGTTAGAAACTCTGATAGCATCCGATGGAGGCCGCTTTAGGTGGGGGTATGTGTTGTGGTAGAGGGAAATGCAATGAACGTTGCAAGGCAGGTCTTTGGTTTCTGTGTACCTTGGGCCGGGGAAAGGCAGATACTCAGTACTCTGAGCACACAATCTAAATTAGGGTTAATCAGGACTTAAGGCTAATTTTTCTACAACACTTTTAGTTTCCTTTTCAAGGCAAAGTCCTGATGCAGTCTGGCTGCCCTCGCTATCTCTGTGAAGTTTCGGTTGTCTTTTTAGAAAGATTCACCGCAGGGGCGCCTGGCGGTCTCAGGCGGTGGACCACAGGACTCTTAACCTCATGGTCCTGACTTCAAGCCCCACGGTGGGTGTGGAGACTACTTTAAGAAAAGCGGGGGGGGGGGGGGTTGGTTCACCGCAGTTGCCTTCCAGGTACAGGATGCCCTGAGAGGCGCCTGACCCCACCTCCGCTCAAACCGCAGACACCTTATTCCCAAGGGCAGAGGAAGCCCCACAGCCGCGGGGCACACGCCTGAGCGCCTTACCGTAATTGCTTGGGGACCGCCAGCCCGACCCTGTCGCCAGCAGGAAGCACCGAGGCGCTTCGGAGAAAATCTCCGCCGGGTGGGCCAAGTGCACCACCACGGCTTCTCCACGTGCGTGAGGTTACTTTGGTGACCCTTTTGTGGTACAAAGGGGAAACTGAGGCCCGGCGACAGGCAGAGCCTTGTTGCTTCGCGGCCGCTCAGCTGCATTGCTGACCCTAGGAAGAAGGCAGGTAACAAAAGTGAACACTAGGTCAGCGCGCCCCACGTGCGGAGCCTAGGACAGGCGCTGCCCACTTCTGCTGCAGGGCGCCTAGTGCGTTGCTGGCGCTCGGGAAACCTGAGGCGGGAAAGTCGAACCCTGCGGGGCCCCCAGACCCAGCCTTCCGTCCCCCCACCCTCAGCCCCAAGCGGGGGTGGGGCCTCTGGCCGGGTCCTGCTCGCTTTCCAGCAGAGCCCTCCGCCCCGGCCCGCGCCCCTTGCTCCAGAGTCTGTCTGGTGCCCCCACCCTGCGATCCGGCGGACCCGGGTCACACAGGGGCCGCCGCTGGCCGAGACCCACCGCCCCCGCCCCGCCGTCTCCTCTCCCCCCCCCCCCACCGGTGGGAGGAGGAGACTCGGCGGCCCTCCCTCGGCCCTCCAGGCGGCGGCCGCAGCAAGCCCCGTGCCCGCTCCGCCCAGCCGCAGCGGGTCGGACATCCGGAGCCCGCGGGTCCCCGGCGGAGGTGAGCGAGGGCGGCAGTGCAGGGGTCGGCAAGCCACTGTGTCCCGGGAACTCCCACCAGACAGCGAACCTTCCGCGGGAGGGAAGGGGTTAAGTTGGGGGCGTGCTGGAGGAGAGGGGCTCAGCGTCCGCAGCAACCCCCAAACTCCGAGCAGAACTTCCTAGCCCCCTGCCCGGGCTCCCCCCACCTCGCGGGACCCTGGACCTCGGGTGTGGAGGGGCTGCGGGGGCGGGGGGGGGGCAGGGCCTCCTACGGAATGCTGCGGGCCGGGACCGGACGGGAGGGGGGCGGCGGGCGGGGGGCGGAATTTGGACCTCTCCCGGGGGACCCAACGTGGTCACCATGGCGAGTGCGGGATGGACGGGCGCACGATCCAATGGGAGCACGGCGCTGCCTCCCCGGCCCGCGGTGGCCGCCAATGGGAGCCGCGCGGCGAGGTGGGTGGGACCGCGCTGCGCGGGGTCGGGAGCCCCCTCTGCCCTCCGCCAGCCGCTAGAGGGAGCGAGGCGTCTTTGCTGGACCGGGGAGGCTGGTGAGGGGGCAAGGAAGTGAGGGCGGACGCAGCTTCTGG